TGTGTGTCTGTGTGTGTGTGTGTGTGTGTGTGTCTGTGTGTCTGTGTGTCTGTGTGTCTGTGTGTCTGTGTGTGTCTCTCTGTATGTGTTTGGTACTAGAGTGGAATCCCAGGCCGTCTGGATGCTGAGCAAGTATCTCATCATTGAGTCATATTCCCAGTCAGCTCTTTGTTGCTCAGTGGAAGTGGACTTCTCTAGGAGTCCTCATTCTGTTTACCACCTTGGGGATACAGTCAACAGAAGGGCAAGATCCAAGGGCTGGAGAGATGGCTCTGTGGTTAAGAGTGAGTACTGCTCTTGTAGGGGACCCAAGTTCAGTTCCCAGCACCCATGTAAGTCACCTCATAACTACATTAACTCTAGTTCCAGGGTTATCCAATTTCATCTTCTGGTTTCTGAGGACACTGTAAGTGCCCACACAGAGTCACACATGTGTACACATAATTTGAAAAATAAAAATATTTTAAAAATAAATATAAGAGCAAGATCCAAAGTCAGTAAGACCAGGGTATGAGGCCTTTTAGAAGCTTATATGAGGGCTATCCTAAATGCCTATCCTCAGGGTTCTGAAGAGTAGGTTTTTGCTTTATTTATTCAGTTATTTACTTTCTGATAATCTTATAGTATACCATGGAGACTGCTGTGGAGATGCTATAATTCATTAATGAAAACTAGTCAGGAGATCTTGCTGTGTTTCTGGTGACAGGGTGGGAGAGAGAGAGAGACACTGCAGGTCTGTAATGCTCTTTCTGGAGATTTCTATATCACATACCCCTAGTAGGTGAGCTCAGTGGGAGCCGCATTCTGGATTCTGTCCAAGGGAGGAGGTGGGTGCCCAGCTCCCTGGTTCACCCAGCTGTGGCCCAGCTTCCACATCTGTCAACTGGTACTACTTTGGGGAGTTCTTGGGAAAGCTCCATGAGTTTGCGCCTGTTGGGTGCTTGGCATGGCAAATGCTGACCGATGGATATCAATCATGGAACCGAGCTAAACAGGTTCAGTCTGGTAATCTGCAGGACCACTGAGCAGCTCGGTGGTGTGAGGACAACGGTCTGTGTCCAAGGCACCAGCTTCTCCCACCAGAGCAAAGCCAAGGGTGACTCCTAGCAAGGGCTGAGGAATGCAAGAGGAAGGAAGGGAAGACTTTCTTACCAGGCCAAGGTTCAGAGTGTTGTTATCATCTTCAGGCATGGGCAGGTACACTGCCAGGGCCACACAGTTGGCGAAGATGGTGAGCAAGATGATGGTCTCAAAGGGTCTGGTGCCAGGGTTAAGGAGAGGCCCCGAGTCATCTGTGGGATGTGTGGGGTTGAGTGGAAGAGACTAAAAAAGGCCAGTCTGGAAATCACTATAGTGCTACGAGAGAGTCAGGCCACGTAATGATTTGAGGGGGCTTGTCTCCCAAAATGTCCAGGAAGGCTGGGGGTCGATGTATGTTCAATAGGATTGGGAAAGATGGAAAATGGATGGGAAAGTCAGGTTTCCAGGGCTGTGTGCACACAGTGGTGTGCATAGGGTTGCACTCACACCCTTCCCAGATACACCTGTCTCCAGCAATTATTTCCAAAGGGTGCCCTGAAACCCACCCTTCTGAACTTACTGGTCATTTAGAAAGCTAATGTGAGGAAGGTAAATTGAGACACAGTCTTTGGTGTGCCATTCGGGGGTAGGGAGTAGAAGGCATGCTATGTAATTAGGTTTGGATACAAATCCCATACTCTTCCCAGAAATTTCAGGGTTTGAAGAGAGATGAGATGGGATGTCACAGAATAGATTTGTGGGTGGAGTGGGCTTAGTGGAGTAGAGGATGGAACAGAGGAAGCTGCTCTCACAGGAGACAGGCAAGGAGGCCGGGGTCTGGAGGTGATGCGGTCTGGCACAGTGCAGCTATGGGAATCAGTCTATGGAAATCACTGTCTCTACCTGGCTCCGTATCTCTCTTACCCTTCCAGTTATCTCCAGTTCTCCCCCCCCCCAAGGAACAGCTGATGGAATCCCACTCTTTCAGAGCATGTCAAAAATATTTCAAATATTCCTGACTCTCAGCACCCACTCAGCACAGTCTGCAGCCCCTCCTATCCCCCAAATAACCCAGATAGTTTCATCATTCTTCTTTCAGAACTCATGCAAACCCTGAGAGACATCAAGGTCCCTGTCCCCAGGGCACTACTGAGCTAAAACACCCAAGTTTGCTTGCCAGCATCTAGGAACCACTAAGAGTAGGCCTTCCCTCAAATCCATTTCACCAGTTCCATTTGTAACTGAGACTTGAGCCAGTGGAAGTTGTCCCTGGACTGTCACTCTCTCCACCCCCCACCACAACCACCATGGAGGGTTTCCTCGGAGCTTCTACTTTTCCATCTTCTTATTCAAAACCATGGAGTGGTACCCATGATGACAGAGACTTGGGCACACTTAGAAACAACTCCCATGAGCACAGGCCCTTCCCAAGATGACCACTTGCTATCTCTGGATGTCACCTATGACCAGAGTGGTCTCAGGCCCAGGAAGGTCTCTTTCCATTGTGGTGGAGACCTTCCTTCCTTCCTTCCTGCCTTCCTTCCTTCCTTCCTTCCTGCCTGCCTGCCTGCCTTCACCAGGTAGTAGGTTAACCCTCTTCCAAGAGCCCAGTCCCCCTGATACTAAACGCCTGAGCTGTGTGACCAGCCCATCCCCTCTCCTTCATCCCACACCCTCCCACTCCCACTTGCTCAGGTACTAAGGATACTTCCATTCCACAATGCTGATGCAGGCCTTCCTCAGGGGGTTCTCAAGAGTCAAGCAGAACAAGGCTCGGGGTGGCCTCGGCAGAATCTCAGGGACAGGTTTCTTGGGCTGTTTCTTCCTCAGGCCCTCATCCTGGGGTGAGGACGGCTCCATGGCTTCCTTGACACCTCTTCTTTCCCTTGCTCACCCAGCCCACGGCCCTCTCTTCCCTGTGTCCCCAATGCCCCCACCTTGGGGACTGGGCCCGACTGAGCCTGTCCTGCTGAGGCAATCAGACAGGGCGGGCGTGGGGGTGGGTGGATTACTCTCTCTGCTCCCAGCGAGTAAAATTAGCCCTGCTGCCCAGCCCAAGCTCCTGAGGCCAGGCAGCTGTCATTCCTTCCAGTCCAGTCAGTGACATCCCAAACTGCCCCCAAGGAAGGCAAGGGCTGGATGTAAAGGGCTGAGTTAAACCCAGGCCTGAGATGGGGCAGGGGCAGTGTGAGACAGGAAGTCTTTGGAGCTGGGCAATGGGGTTCAGGAAGAGGAGCAGTGTGGAGCCACAGTGTGGAGCCACAAGCCAGACAGTTCCCTCATGCAGAGATTAAGTTCCCCCTGACCCTAGCTCCATGGCTCTGTCCAGAGAAGGTGCTGGGTGGTGGCCTAGCTCAGCATATGCCCCCCACTCCAGTCTCAGGATCTGTGAGGATCAGCCCAGGACCGTCATGCCTTCTCCTGTCAGAAATGGAGCTGCTGAGGTGAAAGACTGCCAGGCAACCTTGAATGTGCATGGCTCTCAACAGCCCCCACTCCTCATATCCTTCATTATACAAGGTCTGTGTGCTTTCTCTCTAGAACCAAGACCCCTCTAGCATGCCGTGTCAGCGTGTATTAAGCTCGCTGGAAATGTTAGTTGATTGCAAAGCTAGCAAACACCCACCCACACACACCTTTGCAGAAAGTGTGGGGCTGGGGAATCAAATCAAGAAGAGGAACAAGGTAGAGGGTGGGCACAGGCATAATTCAGGAAACACAACATTCAACAGTCCTTTTATTTAGCCCTTGGTGTAAACAGTGTCGATAGACCCTAGAAGCTTGCAGGCCTTGAGGGCAAGGGAGGGATGAAAGTCCTTAACATGGGAAAAGACCAGAAGACTATTTCAAAGGGTGGGAGAGGGGAGGTGATCACTTGCTGTCAAGGAAGTCAATCAGCACCAGCGACAGAAGTGTGGGCGCATACACACACACACACAGAGACACACACACACACACACACAGACACACACACACACAGACACACACACAACACCACACACACAGACACTCGCACACACACCCCCCCCCCCCCCCACCCCCACACCCGCACCCCACACACACACACACACACACACACACACACACACACACACACACACACCCTTCTCTCAAGTCTGTCAGTTCCAGGGTGCTGAATTCAAGCAGCTGCCCGACCTCCCTCCGTCTCCGTCTGGAATTCTTGCTCTCTAGAGGTGATCAAGCTCCCCGCTAGTATTTGAGGCCATCTTATGGAAGACCCAGGCATGACATGAAACAGTCAAAGCGCAAAGCGCGACCGCTTCCAGGGAACTTGTTGCTGTGTTGGACAACAGAGCCGCCCTGTGGCCAAACAGCGGTCAGGTCCAGGAGCTGTCCAAGGCTCCGCTCCTCATTGCCCTCACCACCTTCTGGGATCCCCATCTCGCCCTTTCTACTCCAGATCGGCACATTTGGCCCAAGAGCTTGCCCTGCCCGGCACAGATGATCCAGCAGCTCCCATTACTGATCCCTAGAGGGACAAGTCGAGGTCTCTGGCCCCGATCAAAGGCGGGGTTCCTCCGACTCCAAGAAAGGTGAGGAGGAGAAGGAGGAGGACCCCCTGGAATCGGCCACCAGGAAGGGGGGCTGCGGCGCGTTGCCTTGGCCGACGCGGACTGGAGGCGGGGAGCTGGCGGCGGGGGGCTCGCCGGGGGGGGTGGCGCTCAGCAGCTCCTGCAGGTACTTGATGTAGCGGATGGCCGCCACCCGGGGCCCCACCCTGCTGAGCCGCTTCTCGGCCAGGGCTCCGGGAAGGTGGCCGCGGAGGCGCGCGTAGCCCTCGTTCACGCACTTGACGCGTTGCCGCTCGCGCTCGTTGCGCTTCTGGATGAAGGCGGGCTCGAACGGGTAGTCGTAGACCCCGAAGGCGCCTGGAAAGGGCACGTAGGGGAACACCCCAGCGTAGGCGTCGTAATAAGGCGGCTCGGCGTGGCCCGGGTACAGCAGGAAGGGCATGTTGCCCAGGGGCTCGGTGGCTGCCAGTGGCGTCTGTCCTGCAGGGGCCACGACACCCAGCTGCATGCCGCTAGAAGCCCCGCGCTCCACCAGGGCCCGGCAGAAGTTACTGTTCATTGCCTCCCGCGGAGCTGGACCCAGAGTGAGGCCCTCACCGAATGGCCTCTCCTCGGGCTTTGTGTAGTCCTGACCACGGGGACAAGTCACATCGCTAGCAGCTCTTAGAGAGTTGCTAAGGCTTCATTTTGATTTTTGGGGGGTTGGCCTGGACTTCTTAAACTGAGTCATAGCTCTGGACAAGTGCAGCGCCTTGCGGAGGCTCAGCAGGTACCTGCTGCGATCTTGCTTGTGCTGCCATGTACTGAGTAATCTGAGGACATTCGTCCTCTTCCCTGGCCCTCGTGATCTGCGAGTCTTGCCTCTTCCTGAAGCCCAACACTGGCACCTGCTCCTGGCACTAGCTGTGAGCCTCCATGACCAGGTCCTCCAGTGCTTAGTTCTTGTTCTTCATTGATTCATGTTGCAGGATCCCCAAGCTGCGGGGAAGTGGTGAGGGCAGCGAGTGGGCCAGCTCTGCCGAAGAGGTCCCAGAATTTTGCTGAAAGTAGAGAAGAGTGAAAATATCAATAAGAAAAGGCCCTTGTGGCACTCCTATCTCCAGAAATGATCAGGAGGGAAAACAGTACGACTTTGGGGAGGTGCAGGCATTGCTCCTGCAAAAGCTGGGTTTCCAGAGGCCACATCAGGGCCTCACACCTGTCTGGACACCTGTCTGTAACTCCAGTCACTACCCTTTGCCTCTGTGAGCGCCTGTACTCATTTGTACATACCCACACATGAAGACAGGATTAACAATAATAAAATACTTTAAAGAAGCCTATTGAATTAGCAGGAAGGGTTGCAGCAGCCATCTCAAGTTATCACAGAAGTCTCCCTGGTGAATGAAAGACAACTCTGGTTACAAAGCACTCAAGTGCTGTTTGCTCTTTCAAAGTTGCTTGGCAGAGAGACTGTCACTTGCTCCTTCCCTGTCCCAGGCCACATTGGGTCCAGGACACAGCATCTCCCATCCTCTTGGCTTTCTACTCTATGGCACTTAAGAGGGTGTCTTCTTTTTCTGTATCTGCCCAAGACAAGCCCCATCTCTGGCATGTAATTGATGCTCCATAAATCCTGGCTGAATAACCAAGAAAGAGGATTAGGCCAAAAACTGGGTTTGCCAGGGCGGGGCATAATTACATGTAGCCGTTCCCAGGTTTTAGAAAGCTGTTATTTTGGAAATAATTGGTCTGTGTCAAGTTTAAGTACCACCAGGTCTCATCAGCTGTGCTTATCAGATTCAAGTTGTATGTTCTCCCCCCCCTCCCCCCCGCAGCAA